GTCATTCTATAATCATTCTTATTTTAATAATAAAATTTAGAGCCAACAATATTGGAACTTAAAACCTTTATATTTTAAATTTAATAATCTAATTCCAGTATTATTATTTGCTAATAACTTTTGAAATTTTAAATATTTGGCTTCTGGATTTCAACTTTTAATATCCTAAAATATATTCACAGGAAGCATTCCATATGAAATTGGAAACATATCAGAACTTCAATCTTTATATTTGGGTGCAAATATCTTAACTGGTATCTATCTACTTACTTATTAGTACTTCATGTATTCATTAATTTGAGTGCATTGACAAACTCTGGAGTACTCCGAGCAATACAGATAAAATCCCACATTCAATCGGCAGTTTATCAAATTTGAAGGAATTTAGTGTTTCTAATAACAGTCTTCAAGGTCAAATACCAGATTCCATCTTCAATCTTTCCATGTTACAAATACTCGATTTTAGTAACAACGGTATCTGTGGAAGTCTTCCAATGTCAATTGCCAATGGGCTCCCTGATCTCGAAGGTCTCTATCTTTGTTGCAATCAATTGAGTGGAGAAATTATTGCCTCTATTTCAAATTTTCCTAAGCTTACTACATTGGAACTTAGTGGCAACTCTTGCAATGGTACGTAACTAGATCTCCTTTTATAGATTAAATTTATTTCAATTTGTTATATAGTGTCTTAACAAAGGTTTATACAAAAACTCTAAATTTAAAACGGTCATATATAAAAATTATTTATGCTAACAGAAAATCTAAATGAACTTTAGGTTACCACCTAGGTATTTTACACTCTTTTGACAAATCTTTTTTCCAGTACGTATGGCGTTTTCATGATAATTATTAGAAGTAAACTGCGCAAAATTAACTTCTTATATACTTAATCATCGACACCAAATTAGTTGGTACTTCTTCTCTTTAATTAGATATATATATATTTTTTTAATTTAACTTTTGATGTTTGAAGTTCTACTTGTTTGGATTGACACGAAATATTCCAAATGAAATTGGAAACCTGTCAGAATTTGCATATTTAAGTTTGAGATGCTATCATTTTAATGGTACGTATTTATATCTCCTAAACTTATTTTATATATTGAATTCAATGTTCTAAAATGGATTAAGCATATGTAAGGCTAAACTTCAAACTTTTACTATGATTTATACCAAAATTTTAAATTTAAAATTGTCATATATAAAAAGATTTTATTGCTGATGGAAAATTGAAATCAACTTTAGGTTGCCACTAGGGATGGCAATGGGGCGGGGAGCCCTTTCCGCCCCCCACCCCTCTAAGAAATTCCCCGTCTCGTTACCCGTTTAAGGTAGGGCGGGGCGGGGCGGGGCGGTCCTTGCCCCGTTTAATTTTTTTTTTTTAGTTTTTGATAATTTATTTTCATTGCTCATATTCATTAGATTTAGACAAATAATTTTAGTTGTTATTTTCTATTAGAACTAATAAAATTTTGTGAAACTTTTCATTTAAAGTATTGAATTAAAAAAATTAAACTTTTTTAATTTGTTAGTTTGAGGACCGATGATGCAATTTCAACTAAGTGTAATGATTAGGTGTATCTTTGTTAGCTCAAAGATGAGCTTCATACTTTGGAGCATTTTGATTAAAACATTATAAAAGTTGTTTTGACCGCAAATGCTTTGTGCGGAATCAACGATTTGTCATCTAAGATTAATTATTCCTTATTCTATTGCAAATCAATAAAGTATTGATTTTCTAAAATTCGCACGCATTTTAAGAATTAGTGTGGTTTTAAGTTTATTCTTTATTCTAGTATATTTTTTCCTTTTGCTCTGCATCTCTCTATTTACAAAATAATTTAATATTTTAAATTAATTTGTACATTTTCCATTGTAAAATCATTCTTATTTTAATAATATATATTATAACCACCAATACTTGAATTTCATTTTTTCAATAAAACTAGCGTGGATCGTGCGTTGCACGATAATCGTTATAATTTTGTAAGAAATGTCACTATGATGATTATCTATTTGATGACACGTATACATTAGTTATAACATTCTTGGACAAAGTTTTTTGGTACATGAATGAAAGTTAAATTATGAGAACTAAATTAATCAACTTGTGACCATGAAAATTGGAGAAAGAAATCC